TGGGCTGCATCACGCTCGGCCTGCATCTGCACATTTCTGCCTTCTGCGATGGCCACGATCTCCTTGCCAAGCTCGTACGCAAACAGGGATCTGTAGATGTCCTGGTCGGTCCCGGAAGTGATACTCGCCAGCGGACCTTCCAGTGTGGTTGCGCCCTCCAGCGGCTCCAAGTCACAAACCGCAATGACGTTGACCGTCATTTCAACGATCTCTGGGAGAGCTTTCTCACTCGCCACCTGCAAACAAAACACTCCACAGGGTCACCAATTACATAGGCTGACTGATGGGCACTTAGATAGGCTTAGATAGGCTAGGCTTTTCCTGCTTTGCTGTTATTCTGACAGGAACCTGAAATTTGCAGGGTCAGTGGTCCATTCCATATCATACCATTACAATTTCCAAGAAGACTTTGAATGAAGTGGCAAGCCTAGTGGCGATGGAAGTTAGGCATTGCGGCATACATACATACAGCATACGCAGAATGATATGACACTTGGCAACATGAGTTCAGGGAGGCTCAAACATTGTCGCTCTTCAGGCCTCTGCACCCCATTGCCTATTGCCTATTGCTATTGTCTTTCTTAATAACTGTGACTATGATAATGAAGAATTAAGATTAAGACTCAGACCCGTACGGGACCATACCGGACCATAGCATACCACAAACTGTGCCGGACCATTCCACAAGCTTTAGCTTCTACCTATGCTACCATGCCGTTGCCTACAGTGCCCAATAGCCAATAGCCCAGTACTTTAGTGCCGATACCGACGCTGTACGCCCTTACTCTATAGAAATAAAAGCAATATTTCAAATGGCAATAATTGGGCTTCAGCAAGGAAATCCACTGCAAACGAAGCCCTCAAATTGAACCTTTCACAACCCTTGCGCCTCAGGCCTTGTATAAAACCTAACCGGGATAACCCTTGGGAATTACAGGGTTGGGCCTTCAATGCTTGAGCAACAGCTTTCGCAGCAAGAGCGGCACGCTCCTCGCCCCGTAGCTCGGGGTTCCTCTCTCCCTCGTGCTTCGCGAGCACACTGCCGACGATGCCCTCGATGATAACAACAGTCTGTGCCTGGGCTTTGTCCACACCATAGAGCTCCTCCACAAACTCCACGGACAGTGACTCGGCAATCCTTGCCCAGTCTTGCTTCTCGACCAGCGCTGGCACCAAGTGCTCTTGGAAAGCATTCTTCACACTCTGTGGGAAGCTTCGGAAGATATCCTGGTGCTGCTGGTTAGCCTGCTCCATCTTGGTGATGAACTCGGCTTTGCACTTCTTGCGGGTGGATGCATTGGTCGACAGCATGTTGCCGGCCAGCTTGGAAGTCTGGCGCAAACAGTCCACTTTTTTCAAAAGTCTCTCGACCTTGTCCAGCGCCTGGAAGTCATTCTCGTTCTTCAGGTCTTTCTGTTTTCGCTGCAACATTCTGTCTACTCGTCCCAAGCTGTTGCCGGTGGGCTGCTCCGGGAAGAACCGCAACGACTCGATCAATGAGGTCACCTCCGAGCCCAACTTCTGCAGTTCCTCCGCCTTGACATCGTCCTTGGTTCGCTTCGCCTGCTTGGGCTTGGCGCCCCCGCTTTTCCTCCTGCTGTCCAATCCCAACGCTAGCCTGTCCTCATCTGAATCTTCGTCGCCTACGTTTGGGGCAACTGATCCAGCAGGCAGACCCGTCTGACCAGCAGTCGTCTGTCCACCCACACCATCCAAGCTCTTGGAACCGCTCGCTTGACCTGTGCAGGGCTGCTTTGCCAAACTGATGATGATTTCATCTGCTTGCTAGGCTAGGCACTCATAGGACTGATACATACACTGATACTGTTACTCACTGATACAGGGTTTAGGGTTAGGGGTTATGTTATGGCTTAGGGCTTAGGGGGTTTGCAGTTTAGGGGTCGGTTTAGGCTTAGGTTTAGGCGGTTAAGGGTGCAAAACTCATAGCAGCAATGTACTCGGCATGCTTTCAATGTTCCTATGTGTAGCAGCACTGTAGTGGTAATGCTAGGCTAGGCTATACCGGCAATACCCAGTACACATGCAAGTTTGGGCCAGCATGCCTGGCTCGTTGAAGCGGGGCGGGCTGCACGGATCCGGTCGGCCTGGCCCCCTTGCCCACACCGCACTGTCTGTGGGGATCTTTGACAGGTTACCCAGAAGACTATCCATCTGCAGGCCGCGGCGGGACTCGTAGCGGCTCTGCTGCTGCTTCTTCATCAACCTGGGGCCACGACATTGAGTTGAATTTACACTACACTACAAGCCCCAAAAAGAACACTTTGACAAAGCCTTTGAACTAGCACCTCGCACTCATATAACCTCCAACCCTTGCTGGCATGCAAGACAAGGAACTCAGCCAAACCGTTGTCCAAAGTCCGCAAGTGAATTACACGCTGTTCCTCATAAACTTCTTGTTCGTACACATCTCGCGGCCCAGAAAATGCCTCAGCTGCACAAGAACCGGACTCAGACGACTGCCAATATTGAAATAAGCACAAAATCCCTAGGCGACATTCATGCTGCAGGCTGCAGATTGACCTGAAAATCAAGTTGGACATCTCCAGCCCTAAGCTATGTCGGGTACGTCCTCGAGAGCCAAATTTTCATTAAATAAATTGTTAGTAATTAATATAATAGATTAATATTAATGATATTAATAGCACTAGACTAGACTATTGCAGTGTAGTTGCCTTGTAGCCTGTGACTTCATGGCCGCTGGACAGGGTGATCTTCTCAGCACTCACACCGTCCTCGGTGGGCGTCCGCCCGCCATGGGCAACCTTATAAGCATCCACGGTCGCGTAGATGATGATCTTGCCCATCGGCTTGATCCGAAACACGGTTTCTTTGTGGTGCAGCACTTGCCTGCCAGGAGACATACTGCCCATATGTGGGAGTCGGAGTACAATAGAGTCCGTACAGTACAGTCAATACAGTGTACCGTGTACCCATGTTTCATGATGTATACTTTGTGCATTCCCGTGCTGTCGCAAATGATATTGGGGTGTAATGCGACTGTATGACTCTATGACTATGACTCATAGGGCCATGAGCCAGGGTCCTAGAACTCCGAATGCTGTTCTGGCCGTTTTGCTTTAGGATAAACCAGCTCTGCTGCACAGAACCCATGGAAAGTCAACTAACAGGATCCTCGGATTTCCAAAGATCCCGGGATCCCACAGGAGAACGAAACGGAGCACGGAGACCTACCTTTCAATCCAAGCTATCATTACGCTGTCGCCATCGCTATCATTCTACCATTGGATGCTGCATGCTGCATGCTATAAATTACTGCAAAGCTACTGAATCAGCGAATCCGTGGGAAGGAAGGGGCGGTTCTTCATTTCCTCGTTCTTCTGCAGGATACAGATGTAGACCGTGCGCTTTGCCAAGAAGCTTTCCCGACCCTCGGGTGTTGAAATGATAACCATGACTTCCTGGCCGACAGGAAAGATTATCACTCGGCGGGTTTTCGAAGCTAATTAAGTTTGAGGGTTTAGGGTTGACGGTTTAGGCTTAGGCTAGGTTTCAAAGTCTCGGATTTCGGGGAAACTGGGAAACAACAGAATCTGCCATGGCCTAAGCAAAACATTGCGGAGCACTGGGGAAGAGTGTGCTGAATTATATAATTTTCCTGCAACCACATCAGGCTCCTTCCAAGTCGCTTCCCCGTAGCAATACACATGTACCCCGTGGCAGAACTCGCACTTGGAGTTCCTCTCGAAACGGATAACTTGGTTGGGACGAAAAGGATGAACCGTATTCGAGTCTGCGCCACATGCACCACAGAGCTGGCCATCCATGTCTCCAGCGTCTGCATCCGCTTCAAGGTCGTGTAAAACCAAATCCTCCGCCCCGATCATGGAGATGTCACCCATGGCTGCTTGCCTCAGGTCCAGAGGTTGATACTATGATAGGCTCAATGATAGGTATGTATGATAGGCAACGGATGCAATGATATGATATTGGCCAAAAAGAGATTCGTAATTTCAAAAAATAGCAAGAAATAATAGCCCAAGATAGTCTGACGTAGGTAGCATTGTGGTGGCATAGCATAGGCAGCATTTGGGGCATGGGCTAGCATACGCAACTGGTCAGAGTCACGTGACTGGGACTCCATGGATCCTCTATTGTGGAATCTCACGCTTGCTTGAAATGGAGTAGTAGAAGTAGAAGCTACATTCATGCATTGACGATCGCCCACAATAGCATACCTCGCCAATGAGCCCATGATTCTATTGCAAACCAAGCACTCACCCACTGCTTCTGGTGAACAGCACGGATCACGGAAGCTCGCTGCTTCCCAATGGAACCAAATCGGTCTCATCACACGCTCTGTCAGCTAATGCGTTGGCATTGAAACCGTGGCCTGTTATGTTACATGTGCACTACAACCCAGACCTTCCAAAATCCCTTAATTAAGGAATAATATATATATATATATATATATATATATAATATATATATATATATATATACCTTAAATCATAGTAGGATCCCTAATATGATTTAAGGTATATTATACGGTATATATTCCTTAATTAAGGGATTTTGGAAGGTCTGGGAACCGTGGGTTGCCTGGCAGCCCACTGCCAGTTCTGCACGCACACACACACACACACACACATCGGCGGCACACCACTCCTTTTGGCCTTTTGAAATGCTCACACGCCTTTGGCAGTCTCTGAACTGGCTTCGCGGCCTGACCTGGAGTGCCCTGAATACCAAATTGAAACGCTGTAAACCTGACCCGAACCCTGCTTGCTACACTGGCTCTGACTGTATAGAACTTCTAGTTTCTAGCTACTCAGATCAGGCACGAACAGGTGTGGGGACGTCAGCCAACGCCACCCAGCGATACTGCCAGCACGAGGCCTATAGCCCCTATAGAGCTTCTATCAGCACATCGACTGATACCGTGATACAGCGAGGGGGCGATACTGTACTATACGAATTAGAAGCCTGACCCCTGGCCTCGTCAACATGGCTAGACTCCGTCACTCATTGTCCAGATTCTCGGACAGGACACACAGCCACTCCGAGGGAACCGATGAAGCACCCTTTTCATCAGCAGCTGTAGCAAAGGCAGCACCATCATCGGAATCACCAAAGAGCGCAGCCAGCTCTGCTTCTTCATCATCGTACGACTGCTTCACCAGACCGTCTGCTACTTTGCAGAAAGCCAGGAAACTCTTGGCCCACGCTGATGTGAAGTGGTCCCGTGCAAGGTACCAAGCCACGAAAGACTTCTCTTTCATGTAGACAGCCAAAAAACTGCGGCCCTTCCACTTGCCCTGCGGGAACTTCCAGGCTCCCCATTCCTTGAGGGTCGAAACATTGGGGGGGCGTCGGAGGTCCTCAAATCCGGAGGGCTGGGCAAAGGCAAGGGAGCTGTCTGTAGGGATTGTCAAAGGCTGCCCCAGCAAAGCTCGTGTAAGGAGGCCAGTTTTCACACTGGTCATGGCACGAAAGAAACCTGCAAAGGAGCTGCCTCGAGTAACCTAGCCTAAAGCCTGAGCAAGGACAAGGCACAGGCCGAATGATTACACAGCACACCCTGATGCAAGCACTCCCTCTGCTACAGCGCTTCTGCGGCAGAATGTTCAGATCAGTTCAGAGTGGAGCACGCAGCAACACATCAGCACAATGATGAACCCACTGCACTGCATCTGTCCTGTCTTGGCCAAACACGCAAGCCTATATGCAGCATGCATCCATGCATGCACACATACCTTGTATACATACCATGCATTCACACATTCATATTTATATTTATATCATACATGGTACGTACACATACACGCAGACATATGTACACACATGCACAGACAGACAGACAGACAGACAGACAGACAGACAGACAGACAGACAGACAGACAGACAGACAGATATCAAATATCCCTAGTACAGTACAGTACAGTATAGTAGTAGTGTACTGTAGATATATGCATGCAAGCAGGCCGGCATACCGGCACACATAACATGCTTCAGACATGCATACAGACAGCTGCATACATTAGAAGGGGCCCCCGCCCTGTAATAGTGACTATAGACTATAAGGATTATATTAGGGATCTATTATATTCCTATTATACCACTATTACAGGGTGGGGGCCCCTTCTAATGCATACAGCATAGAGGCTGCATAAAGCATTGCAGCATGCATACACGATGTAAAACGATATGTTATATGTACACAGTACACACAGAATGACATGCCATGCGCCACACAAGTTGCATTGCGTACCATGCAGTAGAAGCTGCCCCCACTCTGTAAGGAATAACAGTCATAGGAATAGAATAGGGCCCTAATATAAATATAATCAATATAATCCTTATAGTCTCTATTACAGGGTGGGGGCGGCTTCTAAACGCAATGTTTCTGTTTGGGGCCAGCCTTCCTTTTTCGGGCGTAGTTAGCCGGCACTAGATCCTCGGAGGGAAGCTTGCTGGAAGACTGAGAACAGGCGCCGCCGAACAAACCTGGCTTGCAAATATATCTGCTGACATGTCATGCCCAGATCCTGCAGAACTGATTTGCCCTCATGGGATCATAGACTCATGACTCATGACTTAGAACTTAGACCCATAGCCCATAGCCATAGCGTATAGCCTATAGCCTATAGCCTATAGCCCATACAGCAAATGGCCCTCGACCCAGAATGCCAGCTGGATCCGAACGCTGAAATACCTGCTGCTACAGTGAATTGTGTGTACCGTGTACCGTGTACCTCAGAAACTTTACCTCTCTGTCCGGCAAAACCGGTGGCTGCTCTCAGACCTTCACGTCATCCCGTCTCGCGAGCAGTGTCTGCACCTTCCCTGGAATCCTTGAATTGGCAAAGTTACATACGTCATATCATATGTGTAAGTGACATCATCTGTGGCATCTGAGCTATGGGCTATGGTGGACTAGATCGATTGGCAACCCAGAGTCCGAAAATGATCACGGTCAAAGGGTGGTGGGTGACTCTAATCAGTCAATCCTAGTTCAGTCTACGTTGCACAGAGTATAGGTAGACACATTCATAGACTAGATAATAATGACTATATGATATGACTATATAGACTATAGACTATTGACTATAGACTATATAGACACTATAGAGGACTCTGGACTATATGACTATAGGACGCAATACTATAGACACTTCTGACCGCCTCTACTATAGCCTGTCCTGTCCTGTTCATATATAGATATAGCCATTAGCCTATGATATAGCCACATATAGCCATATAGCCTGCAAGTCTTCACAGAACGGCCAATCATACACCATAGGCTGTGCTAGATGCTGCAGCGTGTATCCAACCAACAACTAAAGGGTTATGAGCCTATGGCCGATTGGGGGGCTCTCAGGTAGGGTGTCCTATAGGCTTTATGCTATAGGCTAGAGGCTACACCGTATCTGTGCTATATCATATCAAATTATACTAGGTTGTCATTGTACAAATTAGATGTTACACAGAAGTATAAATACAAACTAACATTCCTAACATATGACACGAACAACTTGTATATGTTAAGTTGTACTATACTATAAGAATACATACATACATACATACATATGATATGTTTTGGTCATAGGATATATATAGGTAGGCCAGGCTACAGGCTACAGGCTATAGGCTATGGCTATAGGCTATATAATATAGGCTATACAGGCTATACTGAAGGCTCTTTAGCCTGTATAATGCGCCTAGCCTATATAAGATATATGATTATATGACTCTGACTATATGTTATGGTCGCATAAGTGCCGCATAAGCAAATGGCCGGTCAACTCAACTTAAAAAGCTACATGAGGCGGTAGCTGGTTTGGGGTCTAGCTTCTGCCCTACTGCTGACAGCCCGAACTCCAAACTATCCGGGATACGACCCGTCACATCGCATGGCTTTCTTGGATTCCAAGGCCCGGTGCTGTGTCTGCCTCCCCAAACACTGGGAACCAAAACTCTCGTGGCTCATGGGTCTGATCTTACCATGTCACATCAGGTCTAGGCCCTGATTCTGTAGGGAACGCTTCGGGGCTACATGATCCATGGAATGTCAAGGGTCGCCATAGCTGCTACGACACCTTGAACAAAATTGTAAAAGTTTAACGAGTTGCCGGACAGCATGCGCAAGGTGGTTTCATGGGTTTCCTCCACCTCGCTCTGGTGGTGGAACACTCCTTGAAGCCGGAATCGTTCCAACCCCAAGAGCCATCGCCGACCTCGCCTCAACCAGTGCCTGCTATTTGTTGCAAGGCACCCAATTCGTGGAACTGGATGCACTCGGTCCAGGTTCTGCGACCTGGAGCAGCTGTTGGGAGGTTCCGAAGATTAGAGGCTCAGGGGGGTTAGGGGTTTCGGTTTAGGCTAAAAGGTTTAGAGTGGTGGCCCGAGGTTTGGCTACTATATGGTGACAACACACCATGTGACGATATCATCGCATGGTACAGTGGTACACAGCATGTGGCATGATGACAAAATATACTATGACTATGACTATGCCGTGTAACCAGAAGTCTTTCTGGTGCACTGCTATGTTTGTGTTCTCATTATGGTGAAGACATGGGCACAGGGCCCGGGGTTTCAAACTGGATCTCTAATACCTAAAATTAATTTTAATACTATCTATATAGTCTATATAGTCTATATCTATATATAGTCTACATCAGTCTATCTCTATATCTATGTCTATATGATTATATGATGTATAGTTTATTTATCAGTCTAGGTATGATTCTTCATATTCCGTTCCTATTATACCACCCGCAAGCTAGATAGGCTGACCCAGTGAGCCAGCATTACCGCAACCTTTTCGCAAGCTTCGGACCCAAGCCATTGCTTAAACCTGGTACTGGTACAATTCAAGCAAGGCACACGTCAAAGCTGTATTCTGGCCCTGTGTCACTCATTGGCTGGGTCACATCGAAAAATAATATCACCTCCCGCTCGCGCTGGGTCAACGCACGGTAGAACATGTTCTCCGAATACAGAGACTCTGCAATCCGCAACTTCTCCGGTGTCACCTGTGTCGCAAATGAACACAGAGGCTGCTGCTTTGGTTAAAGAAGAACCCTTTGTTTTAGAAGGGGCCCCCACCCTGTAATAGTGACCACAAGGATTATATATGGGATTATATTAGGGCCCTATTACAGGGTGGGGGCAGCTTCTAGCCTTTGTTGCTCTATGCAAAACATGCACCAAACCTAAGAAACAAAGGGCTTTACAAGCTCTTGCACCGAGACACTACGGGAGTACTGGGCATGACACCATGAGAGGTTGTTTCATGTGTCGGTCAGCGATCCATGATCACTAGAGCAAATCCCATCCATCCTACATACATGACGCAAACAATTAACTGACTACACCTGCCTATCCTGCCTATCCTCTAACTATAACTATAGACTGTAGACACCGCAATTTGCCTTCTGCTACATGCCACATGGTGTAAAACTGTAAAACCAATAATTAATAGAAAAGGATATGTATGAATGAGTATGATTCTATGACAATCACACGATTTGGATGACGACTCAGACTCACACTACACTGTAGCAGTAGCAGCAAATGTCAAATGTACTTACCTCATCATGCATTTTGTAGAGCAGAACCTTTCACTCCCAACAGTTTCCATGTCGCCACACACCAATACTGGATTCTGGCCACAGGGAACTAGAGCTTACAGTGTACAATGTATACAGACATGGCTCAGCAACAAATCCGGCCTCATGCTCTTGGAAGATCTTGGCATGCATCAACTTCCAGCGAGCTGCTTCGGGGACGGCGGGGTCTGGGTCCTGCTGCTTCAGCTGGGCCTGACACTTCTTGAAGTAGGTACTCGTTGGGGGAACCAGGAACTCATCCAGGCTCCTGTGCTTGTACTGGCCTTTCATGACCTCATCCCACACAGAAGCCAACCTCAGCATCTGGGCTGGTGCATTCGTGACTGCCTTGCTATCCAACAGCTGATAATGAGCTCTCCGTCGAGTCATCGGAATGCCGCATCCGCTGCTGCACACTTTCTTGAACACTGTCACGTAACCAAGCTCTGCAAAGCGCGACAAAACTTGGTCATGCTCGCTCCGGTCCTCGTTGGCCTGGTCATTGCCGGAGACGAGCAAGCCGAGAACCTCCGAGCAGGATGTGGTTTAGGGGTTCGGGTTCAGGCTCAGGAGGTAAAAGCAAATGGTTTGGGAAGCTAATGTTTAGGGTTATGATCCAGTGATGGTTTAGGATGAGGTCTAGTCTAGCCCTACTACTATACTACACTGTAGTTTAGAAGCTGCCCCCACCCTGTAGAAATGACTATAAGGATTATATTAGGGCCCTATTCTATTCCTATTATACCACTATTATGGGGTGGGGGCAGCTTCTAAACTGTACTGCCTATACAATATTTCGGGCTGGTGATTGCATAGGCACAGTACAGTATGTAGCAGTATTGTTCAAGTATGTCACACAGTATGTGATATTC